CAAGAAGGGGACTTTTCACTGAGAATAGATTCCTCATGACTCTACAATTTAAACTACATACTTTGATTTAACATCCTATCTAAACTAAGCATAGGATAAGCACTTTTGATATAATCCTAAGGTTAAAAAGAACTAGGAATGTGTCCTTATGTATATAATTCTGAAACAGTAAGAGCATGGGGAGGCACTAAAAAGTAATCATAATTCTTCATTTGCATAATCCACTTAACGCATATGTTCTGTTCGTTCTGTTCACAGTCTCAGTGATGGATTTTCAGATAATACAGAGATAGAAATTTGAATATTTAAAGCATGACACTTTCAGTATCATAGAAGCTGGAAGATGACGGAGGCACCTTGAGCAATTCCAGGTTCAGGGAGAAGCTTGCAGATGCCAAAGTCTGTTTCCTTGGAATCTCACTTCCTAAATGCCAAATGCATGCTGCAAGAAATTAGATCCCAAATTCTTTTTCTCATCCACTAACATCAAAGATCTGGCAACAATTTTTACCATCATGGCAGCAGAAAAAATCTGATCCTCCAGCAGAATAAAAATAACACATAGAATTTGGAAGGGTGTAGAGGGGTGGGGAAGAAAACAAAAGAAAATTAACCTTGCAATTTTCAACTTCAAAATATAATTGCACTGCTGTGGGCAAGACAGTCTGAATGATAATAACTTTTTACATCTCTACATGTTATGCCATTTCAGAACCCTGATTTATGTGTAGGTTTTTTCACAATCTGTTTTTTCTGCTAAGAAAGAGTTAGTTTCCACTGACTAAATCAGATAGATTGTTATCCCACTGATGTATAAAGCAGGGCAGAGAGACTTGGTACATCTAACTTGAAAGGAGCTGAGTCATCTTGAAATAATATCCTTAGTCTCTGCTAAGCATGAAAAAGGAGTCTTGAGCTGGATTTTTGTATTAAGAGCAGAATCCAGAAGACAAATGCTTTTTTGATTGCACTGCACATAAGCCATGCTCTTGTTAGGAGTGTCGATGTAGTCAGAATGATCAAGAACAATATGAAGATACTGTTACTGAGAAAGCCAGTGCCAAGACATAAAAATCCCAAATGGGTTACTCTTGGCAAGCTGGTATGCCAACAGCTCATTCTTCTTCTTACGTAAACCAGTCCCCTAAGCCAGCCTGAAGCCCAACAGAATGACTTCACAGGAAACATAAATTACAACAGATAAATATACACATCATATCAAACTAAACAGACGCAGTGTGAATCCCAAAGGGGAGGCTTATGAAATCCTGGCATGTGGCTTGAGAGGTCCTGGTTCTTGTTTGCCACAGGGTTTTCAGTGAGGCTTTCACGAAACTTTATTCAAGGTAAGAGAAGAAAAAAACTGAGCTACAGCTTATCTAGATGTTATATATTGTACCTGAATCATGTAGTTATACTGTTCTCATTTCATTAAAAATTAGACTGTTACCATTTCATAAAAAAATAAATTTTTTCTATTATTAAAAAGGAAAAAGTAAAACATTCAGGTAAAATATTCCAGTTCACTTGATTTATTTCTCTAAGTGTTTAAGCCTTTCCAATGAGTAAATTATACAAATAGACTGGACAAATATTACAACTTGCCAGTCTTTTATCTGGGAGTGGATGCCACATCCTTCATTTTATTTCCATCTACAAATGGATATAGACTATACAATCTTGTGTATTTAACAATTCTAAATGTGCCATTCCTGTTCTGCCTTCTAAATAACTTTGCCTAGTCCTATTGCTACAGCTCAGCAACAGCTCAATTAAGAAAATACACAATAAAATCTATGCCTAAGATTACAGTAGCTAATGGACGATTGTTACAATATCTTGCAAAACTGGAAATGAATATCCGATATTTAGTGGGAGCTCATTATTAAATAATGAGGTTATAAACCTAGCATAAGCAGTTTTATAGTGGATTTTATGAAGCCCTAAAGGACAAATCATTGTTAAATTTCATTAAAATTGTGGGAAGACTTCCAGACGGATAAAAAATTGAAACATCTTTTCCTGTCTAAAATGTAACATTAATTAAACAAGCCCTTCTGGGAACAGAAAAACAAAAGCCTAGATTAGCACAAACTATGTCTTTTGTCCCCTAAATCCTCATATCCTGGTGCCCCAGCTCCTCCCTATATCCTCACCAGCCAAAAGGAAACAATTGCCTGATCATTTTGCCAGCCAACTGTTGCCCTAAACAAGGAATAAAAGCTGAATCTTGCATGAGTGGGGCATTCATCCTGGGTGTGTCCCTGCTATGCAGCTGCCAAATTTTATGAAAACATTAGGAACTAATAAACCGAAATGTCTACTCTTTGAAATTGGGTTGAAATATGCCAATTCATTAAAAAATTATGGGGAAACTGGAGAAGGGGATGAGAGATTGATTGGTAGTAAGAGTCAAACTCTGGTGTGTATATAACCTGAAAAGTTTAAGGCATATATCTTAATGTTCATCAGATAAATTGAGCAAACTGCTCCCTGGGTGCTAAGCTCCTTATAGTGGGGGAAGGGCCCTGTAATTGGTAACTTGTCAAAAACTAATGAACCAAAAGACACTGTCCCATTAAAAAACAATAACAAAAACCAAAACCCAAACCTTCAAGACCCCCAAAGCTCACTACCTTTTTGGTTTGGAGCTCTTTCTCCATTGAGACATGTCTCAGGTGCATATAAAGCTTGTCTTCATAGAAGTTACTAGCTGCATTTGCAAATTGGTTTTTCCTTAGAAAAAGGTACTCTGAAATAACCTTTTAAATACTAAATAAGTATTCTTCACAACTGTAACATTTCAACTGTTAGAATAAACAGTTTATATGTGCATTCTCAATGTACATATAAACAAGTAATATAAACAGGTAATATAAACAAGTGAAGAAAACTCTTACAATTTTGATTTCAAATAGTATTGCAAAGACTACAAATTGTGGAGAAATCTGAATGGGGCAAGCTGAAAAGCATCTGTGCCCTGAAGGTTGCTATCTGGTTTAATCTGTGCTATCCGCCTGTACTGGATGCACTATTTGCTGAGTACAATAGATATTTTCCAAATATAGAGACCAGTATCAGCAGTAGTGACAAGTTCTCCCAGGCTTTTCTGTTGGCACAAAACTGTTTGAAGGCTACTTACTTTCTTCCTCTCCCTCCAAACCCTCGGTTGTCTCATCTTGGCAAGGGCTCAATCTCCCTGTGCCTGTGGTCAGCCCTGCCCTGCTACACTGTCTTCTTGACAGAAGCCTGATTTCAGGAAGTGTTTATTTCATGGTCCAGTTTTCTGAAAAATAACTAAAACCAGCTGCAGGCTTAACTTTCTGAAATGTCCTCAAGTCAGTAGTTGCTTTGAAACTGTTTGTCTAAAATAAATTTTGTAAGTATTTCCGAATAATTTCGAGAGCACTGGTGTGTCAAGGGTTTTTTGCAGTACACTTTAGAGCTAAACTGGAAAAGATCCCAGATGAGCTCAGACAGCATCCAAGGGTGTTGTCCAAGGTTAGCATTGATAAAATTTTTCTATGGAGCTTAGCGCATTGATTTATTAATTGAAAAGAACACAGCAAGCTGACAATTTCTGTCAGTCAGGTTCCATGTCTGTGGACTGGAAGTTTGCTCATGATCTGTAATTAGCATGTTTATTGAGTTAGGTGATGCTACTTAATCAAATTCCGGTATGTTTAACCATCTGGTAATTGGTGGGGGGAAGAAAAGAGCACGCAATGAGCCTGATTTTATAGGAACAGTCCTTGAAGATTATGCAAGAAAGAATCACATAAATCCAAAAAATCAAGCTGAATTGGACGTGAAGGTGTGTGTGGAAATACGCACAACAAAAAAATGGTGTAACAGAGGTAGTCACTCTGGGAATTCTTAGTCTGCTGGGCACCATACAAGAAATTTAATGTTGGATGTAAGAGCACATGAGGTACCTTATACTCTCAGCATTTTCTGAAACAAATATAATTATTTCCATAATGAAGAACAGAAAGGCCATTTCTGGAACTGGAAACTGTCTGGAGTAGTTTTGGCTACTATTTGGACCAGTTTTAACCTATCACTAAAGTAATTTGTGTAGTGTAATAACACATTCTCCTTAACATATCTGAACTCTTTGAGATAAATTATATGGGTAGAGAACACTAACGCTTTATTATTTTTTTAAAATAATTTTTTAATACCATAGTGGGCTTATCTGGTCTATTATCTGAAAGCTGAGTTTGTAGTATTGATAATTCAGCCTAAACCTTATTTTAGCCAAGAACAAATACTTTTGTAGGAATTACAGATGACTCTTCACTTCTTTAGTAGCATTTGATAGAAAGTGATAACTTTGGCTTAAGGGGAAAATAACAAGGCACAGTCTTGTGGATGAGTCTTGTGGCTAGAAGGAACCTGTAGGAACACCGAGTATGAAGAACATAAGACAGCAATGCAGCTAACAGCTGCTGGATGTATCTTTAGGATGACCTAGAATGTTAAGCAGTAAAATTGGGATGATGGATCTAAAGCAGACAGAAGTGTCTGGAAAAGGGGGATTGAATTAAGCTGCAGAAGGTGCTCAGAATGAATCCAGCAACAGAAGAAATCATATGGTGTCTAGGTTGCATAATCTTAAAACATTAATACCTATGAATCCAACCAAACCAACTTACTGCCTTAGAAAGACTTTTCAAGCAGTTATATAAATAAAAATTTCAATTATTAATGTACACTGGAAATAATCATAAAAATCTCGCTTTCAAAGATGAGAAACAATCAGCATGTATTAGAATAACTATGCAACTTGCAAGTTGGCAAAATGTACGGGGAACAGAGCATTCGAAATTGTTTGCCTGCCACTCATGTTTATCTGCTCATAATTTTCTATTGCATCACCTGTGAATCACTTTCATTATTTCTGAGTAGGGAACATTGCCAGCTCTCTGAGACACATTGCTGAGTGCATCAAATGATACAGCCACAAGAAAGCCAGGAAGTCAGGAATGAATTCTTACCTTATTCATGTCAAAGGTGTGAAATACTTGTTCAACATAGCTGTTAGCTTCCGGAGTAAGTCCGTGTAGATCCAGGACATGTTTAAATTCATGTAGACAAAGTTGTCCAGATGGGCACTCCTTCATAAATTTTGTGTACCAGTGGTGAATTTCCATAGCATTAATGTCATCTGCTGATCCAGCAGCACCCATTGCATCAAACATACCAGGTAACTTTTTTCAGTATCTATTCATCCAAATGCTGATTCTTGCTTCCAAACAATGATCATTCAAACACCAACTCTGCCTTCGAGAGCTACTTTAAACCTCTTACAGATCGCTACCAGAATAGACTAAGTAAATATAGCACCTTAGCAAGATTACTGGCGGCCAGTTTTAGTGCCCCATGGTTTTATCAGCTGATTACAATCTTTGTGCACAGTCAGTCTGCAGAGCCTCAGATGAACTGATTATACCATTGCATTATATCTTGCATTGGCACCCGTCGTGCTAAAATCATTTAAACTGGATGGATATTGAAAGGGCAACATCTAGAAATATTCAGAGTAGTTTCTAAACCTTCATTTTAGTAATTCACGAAGTTTTAACTGAAACTTCTACCCCATTTTAATACTTGAATGCGTTTTGTGCAGCTGCCTTGTGGTAAATAACTTTTCATTTTTATTACTTCTGTATGTACCCTGATCCAAATCTTACCTCAAAAATCAAAACTGCAACACAATTTGACTTGGATAACTTGAAAAAACTGAAAATAGCTGTACGCTAAGCACAAAAAACTTGCCATTGTCTTTAGACAGCAGTTCTACAAGCATCTCAGTCTTCTGTAAGCTAATGTCCTAAAAATTGCTCCCCCACTGCCACTGCTCATTCAATCCCATCCTTTCCCTTCCCTTAGGCCAGCATGAATGTTTGTAGTTGCATTTGGGAAAAAGTATAAGAACAGATCCAGGCAAAAGCTTGAATTGAATAAACTTTGAATACTTTTGAATACTAATAAGTATAGGCTGAATACTAATAAATATAGTTAGCTTTGGACAACATTATTTACATTTTTGCATTGCCTGGTCTCACAAAACTTTGGGTTCTAGAGGAGAACAGATAAAACATGGGTGGAAAAGGGTGACCAGCAGTAGAAGGGGTGCTGAACTGCTATTTCTGCTGATTCAAATTGTTTGTGGAAACTTGTAGTGCCATAACATCTGTGCTGTATTGTGGTACATAGCACTGTACAGTTTTACAGCTTTAAGCATTACAGTGCATACTGTGGCATGCAGTAGTTGTGGTAGAATGTTAAAATACAACTGTTATGCTTCAACCCACTGCAAAGGCGCTGTCTCACCAGCGGTACTCCCGTGGTGCATCACAAAAGGACAGAGAGCACCACCTGAGCAGCATTTCTCTGCACAGTCTGGCTGCCCTGGGGTGCTGTGCAGCTGCAGGGGATGAATTTTCCTCTGGGCCGAGGTTCATGCTGGTTCAGTTGCAAAAGCCGCGTCAACGGTCGCGAGAGACAAATTTGATCTTAAAGCTGCAAAGGAACTGAACGCTGCTGTTGGACATGTCACGACACCTGTTTTACGGGTGCCAAAGGGATGAGCGGTGGTGCACCTGTGGGGTATGAGCAGTGAGGGTGGCATAGCCAGATGGGCAAGATGCTCACACTGCATGAAGTTTAGGGCAGGCTCTGTGCCGTGGCACACAGGTTCACGTGGACATTTTGAAATCAGTTGAATTCTTTAGGCAAACAAAGAGCTGTGACATGCTAATTATGTAAGATAAGAATTGCAAGGTATTCTCAGAAATGGGTATAAGCCTTCACTGCAAAAGGACAACAAGCTGGACTGTCACTGGAACAGACTTTCAAAACATATTCGTAACCACACTGCATAAACTAGAGTGTGCAGCCAGTCAGGGCAATGCTGCTGAGGAGGGAAAGAAGGGGGAAAGAAGCGCACTGGAGGACTTCAACAGTGACATATACTATAGCTATCACTAAAAGGTGATTTTTTCTAATCTCTAGTCTTCCCTTGCACCGCTTTCAACAGATTCCCCAGAGCAACAATGATGCCCTAATGTGCTGTCAGTTATAAGATCAAGACCTTCAACACTGAGAAGCAGCAGGGATTTTCTATATGATATACTGATTAAACCAGAATAAAAATGAAACATGTGAAGTGGTATTTGTAAACACTCCACTTCGAAATATCACTCCCAGGGAAAGAATGCTGTATTTATAATAACCAAGAACAGCAAGCAAAAGAAAGGTAGCTTGGAGTGTCAATCTTCAGCCTTTTATTGTTCATCAAATCTAAATTTTCAGTAGCTAGGAACTGGAAATGCCATCACAGAATTTTCCAGTGTATATCAACCAAATTGTTAGTTCAGTGAAAAGAGGGAGTTTTAAAAAACTCAGTTGTTACTCAAACTTCCTTTCCCTGATCCCCTGAAATAATAGCAGTATTCAAAAGAAAAAAATCAAAGGTTTGAACATAAGTTTCAGGAGCTATAGATGATTTTTTTTTTTTGGTAAATACAGGGGTCTGCAATAATTTTTTGTATGTTTTAATTTTCAAACATTCTTCTGAAAAAAGCAACAGCATAAATGCAAGTATCAAAATCTATGCCATCTCAGTCCCATCTCATTCCTTAAAAACATGCATATTTCTTTCATATGGCATGGAAGACTCTCCTAACTCTACTGTGATTGATCTTCTGGAAGACAAGGTTAAAATGTCAGAAAAATCTACATTTACTGAAATAACTCTTCAAGATAGTCATCAAGCTATTGTAAATTACCTATTTGATGAATCTGAAAAAAAACCCTTAAATTTTACACTGAAGCATTTGACAAAATAAGCATATGAACAAGCATGAGATGCTTATCAACAAAGGTTGTAATTAAAAAAGAAGTAAGAGAAAACAGCCAGAATATTTAAAGAAGCAGTGCAATAACCCAGAATAAAATGGAAACATGTAAGTTAGAATTAAGTGCAAGTAGGAGAAGAAACTGCTTGTAAAGGAATTTTTGTTGGCCACGTTCCTATTAGAATAGCTTTACTGAGGGATTATAGTGATGAAGTTCACACAGATTAGAAGGGCTATGCTGGCAACACTGTTCTTTTTAGCCATTTAAAATCCTCACTTTCACTCAGGAGAAGTTACTTCTCTATTTAAAGCACAGTTTTCTCAGATTTATTGCATCTCCACATCCAGGTTAGCTGGACATTACATTTCTTCATGTATATTACCCTCCAAGCAAAGTCTAGAAGTAAAATGAGGGAGAATGCAAAAGTAGAGAAGAAATTGCATTGTGGCTCTGTAGGCAATGTGATACAAAGGGGAGGAAAGGCAACTGGAAGAAGCAAAGAAACTGGTAGCAGAGAGACTGGCAGGACTTTGAGAATGTAAGGCATTTCAAGAAAGGATAAAAATTTTTTATATTAAATTCTGCCATAAACATGAGGTATGGAAAGAAGAAGCTGAAATGATACATCAGAGTAAAAACCAGAATTTAATTCTATAGACTTTAATCCAGCATCAACACTTGCACACAGAAACCTATTGCCTGAGTAGTGTCTATATCAAAGACACACTATGTGCTTATTTTCCACTGAATATGATTTGATAAACCCATCCAGGTCACGTGGAATCTCTCAGCACTGTACCAGATCTTCATATGTAATAGTTAGATGTACTTGCACCTTCATATGTAGTAGTGGGGACTCAAGGTTATTGACACATACTGTGAAGCAAAAACCCTTGAGGGTCTGATAAACCCTATCTAGGAAATTTCAAGTTTTCTACAGATGATGCCATAAGATATAGGAGAAAGTTTAATGAAGCATTTGAAACACAAAATTGCAGACAATGAGAACAATAATATCAGGATAGAGAAATCCACATCCATTTTAGAGAGAAGATTCAAGGGACAAAACTCTGTCCCCCACTTTTCCCCAGAGCTAAATTCTCCCTAAGTCTCTCTCAGTGTTGTGTATTAGCACTATCAGCCTCTACAAGCCACAGGAATAAGATATTTGGACTTATGGATGTAGGAAGACAGCACCATTTAGAATTTTTATTTGATCACTTTACTACAGTGACAGCCTTAACTATAGCTGTAAAAATCACAGGTCACTGAACTGAAAAGTCTTACTTTCCTTTAACCTCAAGACAGTCTTTTTTGAATTCTGTGAAATATTCCTGCAAAATAGTTTGAGAAAGAATCAGATTTCTTTAAGAAAAAAGTGTCTGTAATTAAAATGTGGGACTGATTAGCACAAGGTGGTATGGAGGCTAAAAGTAAATATGAGTTTAAAAAAAATAGATAATTTCATGGAGGAAAAGTCCATTTAACCCATTTGTGGAACTTGTTATTTAATTGAATGGTCATAGGCTGCTGGAAGCAGAGTGTGACTAAGGAATGCCTGTTCCCTAGGCATGTGCTCCTGGCTATTGCCACAGACAGGACAGTGGACCTGAAGTATCTTTGACCTGTCTAGCGAAGTATGGCTATTTTTATACGCCCGACATGACCCAGAGAGTGTTTAACTGGCTTATCTTTATTCAGCTGGTAGTCAGACTGACTGAAGATAAGTCATTTTGGAAAAAATGTTGGTGTTCTGAGGGTCCTGTCTTAGATGGATGTCTGGGTACAATGCAGGCAAACCCACTTTATTTGTAAGTTGCATAATTATCATAAAAGCATTGATGGTAAACTATATTTTCTGTACAGTTTCTATTTGCATCTTCCCATAATTTTTTTTTACACAGGCTTAATGCTTCTTTATTAGGACACTTTTCTTTTTAATTTACTTATAAGTTTTTCAGTGTACTTGTATGTGAAAATATGCAACTCTGAATACCCAGTAAGAAACCTTGTTATTGTGTTAGGTCCGATACCTGTTTTCTTAAGTGACAAAACAATACATATGCAGATATCTACTACCAAAGTCATGGAGCATACAGGGACAAAAGAGTGGTTCTCAAACTTTATTAGACGCCTTTTAAAATTAGTTTTGTAAGTGGTTTCTAATTTGCCGTTAAGGTTACTTAAGTAATATTCTAATGCTACTAAAGTCCTTTCTAAAGTATTAAGGTGACACCGTTAATCCATAATCTTTCTGGAACTCTTACACAACAGACACTGTTCTATCTAAAAAAAAAGGCAACTATCCCCTTTCCCCTACCCTATGTGGGAAAGAGAGATAGGATAAATAAAACTTATATCCTTTGGAGGGATACTAAATATCATAAAGTTCACCAAAAGGAATTAATGAAACAATTTAACAATTAATATCTGTAAAGTGGTTATACAAACAATGTGAAGAACATACATAACGTACTTAGTAGTATTAACCTTGAAAAGAAATAATAATTTGATTTGATAGCAGTAATTGCATGTAATCTGCCAGTCCCTCCCTGGGGTAGAGTCTCCATTACCTGAGCAGCAAGACCAGAGCAATGCAAACAAGCAGAGGAATTCATGGTGCACCAGGCACCATCTTCCCTCTGAGCACATGGGCACAGAGGGACTCAGTGGTAAACAGGAGCAGGTTCAACTCCAGTGCAATAGGGGATGTATCCCTACAAATAATCCATAGATAGACATCTATGCTGTCTGTATGCATCTGTGCTTATCGATGGACGTGCTCCTTACTCTGGAAGCCCAGGACCAGCCACATTTTTCTTATTTTGTTCAATAACAAGAAATATTTGAAAATCAAATGTAGTTTACCCTATGAAGGCACTGCAGTATTTCTGCCATCTTTCCCTTCAGGCTACTAAGTTTTCCTTGAAAAGCTATGTTTGGAGCTCATAGCTTTGCTGCAGTTTGTAAGCACAGTCTGCTTTGTAGATATGACGACAGATAGAATTTTTCTCCTTCATTTTTAAACAGTATGAAATAGTCTTTATAATCTAAACAGACTGTTTTGTTTTATATCATAGATAAAGGCAACCCTGAACTCGCTTTAAAATGTATTTCTGCTAAAAACTCCTATAAATATTCATCAGTGTGTAGAGAATTACTAGCTAGTTAACTTACCATGGTTAATAATCCATAACAGAGGACATGCAAACAGTGGCCTGTAAGGTTCATGTATGGTCAACAGCAACTAATGCAGAATGGATTTGTGATTACAGTAACTTTGTAGCATATCCAAAGCCTTAACCTTTGGCCAGCCACAATGCCAGTTTTTTACATTAGTGAGTTCAGGCTGAAAAAACTTGCGACTTTTGTCACTCCTGCTTTACTGTTGGAAGAACCCTGAGCAGTTGAGAGCAAGGTCTGTTAATAGGATAGGACAAAGGAAACAAAAAGGAAAACATCTTTTTTATCTTACTATCAGCATTTGGTATTACATCCTGAGAGGCAATACACAAAAATAAAACCAGCATGGAATTTAATTTAAATGAAAGATGCATGAAGACCTTTTGACCTTTTAACCTTTCATAGTTTATATTCCTCAAGAGGAAATTCATCACCACTGTACCATGCAGCACTGACTGTGCTCAAAAGTTGTTTCATGCCACCACAGCAATCTCAAGATAGTTGCTGGCTGCTGTAATTCTTGAGAAACTTTATGAAAAAATACCAGCAGGAACGACATTTATTCAAATGTTTTTTAACAAGTATTCCTCTGTGTTTTAGTCTGAAAACCTGACAAAACTACACAGTACAGGACTTACAATAAGAAGTTATACTCTTTGAGTAGGAAGGCACAACTTCAGTGCATTTAAAAGAGGAAAGTACGTGCTTAATCAGCACATGCAATTAAAATAAAGGCACAGGATGTCTGTTAGAGTTTGAAAAGTAAAGATCATTGTTCCTAGACAATTTTGCTGATGCATTACAGATTTCTTTTTTGCATTTTTAAAGTATTTTCATCATTATGTAACAGGTCATAATATCAGCATTCATTGTTAAGAGTAAACCTTTTTGTCTACTTCACATAACTTAAGGCTCTCTGAAGTACTAAACATACTTCCTTAATAAATTTAATAATATAAATCAAAGAATGCTCTTTTTTTTTGGAAAAAACATCCATAAGGCATAAAAATACCTATATAGTGGCACTTCATCTTGGAATAGAAATGAATTTTAAAGAAATTTTTTTACATGGGTGTAGCATGATTTTGACTTCTTTAATTGTTCAGGAGGAATCTTTGTTCTTATTTGAAAGGAAAAATAATTAGTATTTACATTGACAAGGTATTGAGTCTGTACAAAAGGATTTAAGAGGAGAAACAACTGAACAAAAGCAAATAGAGAAAGGAAAGAACACTAATTAAACTCAGGAGGGTAAGAAAGCCCTAACTGAGAAAACTAGTTTTTTACCATCAGCTGGTGAATAATGACATTTTCATGGCTGATTTGTCTTCCTATGCCTTAAAGGTGTCATTGGAGTATTTAAAAATAATAAGTCTGCAGTACTGGAGAAAAAGGCCAGGACAACTGATAAATCTGCCCTCTAGCGCTGTTACAAGTTTCATATCCTTTGATCTAAAACGAAACTCACCAGAAGAACCACAATAGGCTGTTTAATACTGTAGAACAGTTCCTGGAAAAGTTTGAAAAACTGAAGTGTATTGCTGAGAAAAACCTCTAAGAATGTGAATGTGCACCTTGGACAACCAACTGCTGGCATCTCCCAGTAACACAAGCCCCCCAGTAACTAGGCACAGGTAGAAGACTTTCCTGATGCTGCAAGACAGCATTAGGACAAAATATAAAAAGATTCCTGAAAACAAATCTCTAAGTTTCTCGAGCCCTTGATGGGGAAGCTATTCAAACTTTGCATGAAAATATCTGATCTTTGCTTTTCACATTAAAGGTGTCTGAAAGCTTTTACTTCTAAATTGAATTAGCAATACGGAGAAGCTGGAGAAAAGCAGCTTATTAATGGGGGCAGAGTGAGCTGCAGCTTCTCTGAATGGTGCTGTAGTCCTATATTCTGAGTTTATTCTACATCTGCACAGTTGTAGAAACAAGTGGGTAGCAATTTGTCCACAGAGGCAAAACATGGCAACTAAAGACACGTAACATGGAGTGGTAAAAATAAATCTGAGTAGCTGTACTTACCCAGAGTGACTCTTAAAGCGTAACAATTTCTGTTGTAAATGATTATGGTGGGTTGTCTCTGGCCAGCTGCCAGGTGCCCACCCAGCTGCTCTCACATTCTGCCTCCTCAGCAGGACAGGGGAGAAAATAAGATGAAAAAGCTCAAGGGTTGAGATAAAGAGAGGGAGATTGATTACCAATTACTGTCATTAGCAAAAGAGACTTGACATGGAGAAAATTAATTTAGTTCATTCTCAATTAAAATGGAGTACCATTCTGAAAAAAAAGACAAAACAACACCTTTCCCACCCCGTCTCTTTTTTCCATGCCCAACTTCACTCCCTCATTCCTGACTTCTCTGCTTCCTCCTCATGAGCAGTGCAGGAAATGGGGGCTGTGGTAAGTCCTTAACAGCTCTTCTCTGCCTCTCCTTTCTCTGCACTCCTTTCCATGGGCTACAGCTCTTCAGGATCAACCTGCTCCAGCGTCGGTATCCACAGGCCACAGCTCCTTCAGGGCATGTCCACCTGCCATAGTGTGGTCCTCTCCATGAGCTACAGTGTGGATACCTGCTCTAGCATGATCTCCTCCAGAGGCTGTCAGGGAATCTCTGCTTGGACACCTGGAGCATCTCCTCCTTCTCTGACTTCTCTCTCTGAAGAGCTGTTTTTCACATGCTACTCCTCACTGGCTGTGCGGTATTTTGCCCTTTCTCACACAGGCTTTTCCTGAGGCACTGCCATTGCGGCTGCAGGGTTCAGCTGTGCCCTTGGGTGGGTCCAGTGGAGTGAGCTGAAAGCGGCTGTGCTTGGCATGGGGCAGTCCTGGCTACTCCCCACCAGCCCTGCAGCCCCCCACCAGCACCCTGTACATTGCTTCAACCAAAATTTCAGTGCAGTTGAGGATGGGGACAAAAGCAAACACTGTCTGCACTGAAAAACAGGAGAAGTCAATCACTTCCCTTACAAAACTCATTGGAAAAATTTTGTCTATACATGGCTTGCCACAGTCAGAGTCACCGTGGTTTCCAATGAAACAGGAACTCTGCCTGCATCCGTATGTCAGAGAATGGGATATTCCCTTATTTTTTTTCCCCAAATTACACCACTCTGGATCTTTTATAGTTGAAGATACTTGAATTCTGAGTGAATACAGTCAGGAAGCTGTAGGTTCCCATACTGTGAACATAGATGTAAGACCCCCTGGGGGTGTGCAGGCAAGTTGTTCTCTTAATAGCTCATGCTTGGAAAAAAACTACAGCAGATGTCTAAGTTTAATGACAATAAAAGCAAATACACATCAGGGATGAAGATTTCTAAAGCACCAAGGCCAGGAAAGATGTGTCCTGGTCACTCAGACAGGGCATCTTTACTGAGAACCACAGTGCAGCTTTCCCCTGATAGAGTGGAGGGAAACAAACCATGTGCAACAAATGAAACCAATTCTTCTAAATGCCCCAAGGCTTTAACTTCTTGTAACTTGGTCAGAGCTTTTATGGAGAAAGATTAAAATCATACATACAAAGCGTGCTTACAAGACTTGAGTGCGCACCATTCCATTAGAAGAACTAGCAGAAAAATTCCTTAATGGGCAGTTTCTAAATAAGTACACTTTTAAGTAGCTGAAAACTTCTCAATTTTATGATAATTCATTCAGGTTTTTTTTAACCAGCTATATAAAATGGCATCTGGCAGCCATAGTGTATAATTTGCTGTGACTAAAATTAAGGAACTGGACTGCAGGCCAACTCTTTGTTGTCTTCACTATGCGTCTGTGATATCAATGTGTCTTCCACACAGTGCCAGCAGAAGAACAGAAAGCTTTTTTATTTTAATTTTACATCTGTGATAGAAAGAGTTTTTAAAAAAACCACTTCCTTTATTTCAGATAAGAAGTGGCAGCACAGAAAGAGATTTGTCTTAGAACTGCAGTGAAACTGGTGGGGCCAGAAGTAGTGTGTGCAGATCTGACACCTGACTTAGTCACTTGGCATCTTGTGGATGAGATTCCGTCCCACTTCTCTGCCTCCATCCTTGGAAGGGGTGATGAAGAGCTGCCTCCTGCTGTGGGGATGTGACAGCTTCCACTAAACAATTTACAGTGTATTTACTCATGTGACTGCATGCACAGTGCTTGTGAGTTCAGCAAGGAAGGTAAGGGTAGCGAAGGAGAAAAGGCTTGAAGGAGGAACTTCTTTCAGACAGAATATTCATGTTACCTCGTCTGCATTACCTAATAACCCTTCTCGAGTTGCTGAATGCCTTAAGATGGATGTAAAATAATCATGGATGTAATTTCAATAAATGAAGTGCAGCCACAATCACAGACAGAGGGTTAACACACCTGGAAACTGTACTGCAAGCTTGTGTGAGACTTCCTTATACATTCAGTTATTATGCCACTGCACTTAGAGAGTAAGGGAAGCCGCTTCTTGCAAGCTTAATGTTACCTGCAAAAAGTCTCAGTGGAAAGGCTGACACTGGTAGCATTTCAGATGCGTGTACTTCTGCCCTCAAGGCTGTCATCTTTTCCCAGAGAACAGCGTTGAAAGGCTGTGTTTAATGCATTTCTCCCTATTGGCAGAAAAGTCACTTTAGGGAGCCATTGGTATTTCTGGCAATTTTATTGAACATCTGGTCGGTCTCAGACACATAATAATGATAAGGCTGCTATATCATGCTTAGAACACACATTTGAAGATACCGTTTGACGCATGAACTAAAATCTGGCAGTTCAACTGCAGTGTGCTCTTGTTCTTTTACAAACTGTATCTACTGAATAAAAGAATAACAAAACAAAACACAGCAGCTTTTTCTCTATCAGTCATTAAAATGTTTTTGAATGATTTCAACATTTTTTCTAATTTAGAGATTGTTTTTCTTATCTCAGAAAATGACAGAGTAATTATATTAACAGTCTTACTGAGGTAGCTGAGCAGCTATATTCACTGGAAATGTCACCACTTTGCTAATAAATACCTGTAAAACTTCTTCATATCCCCACTTTTTTTACTTCACAAGTTGATAATTGTTAAATAAGAAACCTGGTTAAGTTTCAACTTTCTAATCTTAGTTCCTGCCTATATTTTTTCAATAGTTTAAGAAGAATATACTAAACTATACCTTATCCAGTGATTCAGTGTAAAACCTCCTGGAGAGCAGAAACTTATTATGGGACCAGGTGGTCTTTAGACCTAACTTTGAGCTTCTTAGTTTTAATGATCAATGTTAACAGAAGTGTGGAATATGTCCCTCATTCTATCATTTACTACTTCTTTTTGTTTAAGGAGATAATATTTTCAGGTTGAAAATATCTAAAACTCCTGCAGTAAAAAGGGAAAGAGAGTTGCAAAGAAAGTTTAATAGCACTGCTGCTGCAATGCATCCAGTTTAAATTCTAAGTGCAGTGTTTCAAAGTTATACTCCCAAATCCCAATTCCTCCTCCAAATCTCGTAGAAACACAGCATCTGCCAAAAACTTATGTATTCAACTTACACAATTTCCTGACTGCTGAGTTCAGCACTAAACCAAAGATTTCCTCCCTCATCTAAGGACAAACTACTTGCAGCTTCACTTTTAATTCAACTCGCTGTCCATAAAAAGGAACAGTCTTTCAGCCCCTGAAAAACAGTCCTGAACACCCACAGGGGGCATGGCTATTACTGGCTTCAGAGACAGACATAAGAAGTGGTAAGAGATAAAAATCCTCATTTCACCCTGCTAAATCCACCATTACACTATGGTGATGTGACAGGAAAAGAGCCAAATACCTGCCACTTTCATCCTGCTGAAGTGCTGAAACCAGGATTAGAGTTACGTAATGTTGTAAAATAGGAATTCAGCGTGCGAAGGGAGGAATCTCTCAGTTCCTTATTAAAATCACTGCTCACACAGCTGAACAGCACTGTCCCTATTGGAACAAACAACAGCCAAGCCCCCAAAACTGCAACTGTCACCCACACACCGACTTACAAAAGCACAGTCCAGGTGATCTCTGTGCACCTGAGGATTTCAGGGTACTGATTCCAGACTGGTGAGAACTTGATCAGAGGTTTGCTGTGTTCTGGGCATTTTGCACGGTGCTCAAACTTTCTTTATATTTGTGCATAAGACTCTGAAACACAAACTGAAATTGGATTCAAACTCACCAGCACACAAGATGAGCACAGCAGGATTGCTTAAGTATTCGCATAGAAAAGCTTACCTTAAATGACATTTTCAGCTCTTCCGCATGCACAGGGAAGATCCCAAGGCCCCATGAATGCTGTCACTGCACCAGCTTCCCATATAATGGTACAGACTTCAGTACATTAAGCAAGCAGAGAACAGAATAAACTTAAATAAAGTTAGAGGTACCCTTCCTATTGCCTTCTTAGCAGTTAACATGGTTAAGCTGACCACAGTAAGTGTCAAACTAAAACTTGAGATCATGGAGACCACACTATCCTTAATTTTGAGTAAAGGCTGTGGAAGCAGGTGAAACCTCCACTGGGCTTAGGGCACTGGTCCCAGGGCTGTGGACTGGGGAACTCTGGTTTTCTCCAACCCTGCAGCACAATTCTAAAGCTGACTTGGTCCTGAAAGCAAGGAGTAAGGAAGGGGTGGCTACCCCAGCCTCTTCAGCCAGCAGAAAAAGTGCATTTAGAAGTGTAAGAGTAAAGTGAAAACAAAGGGCTGACAGAAAGGCTTGCTAGTAGGGTTAAGTAGGTTTGAGCGCTTCCAAATGATGACAGTGCTAATACTTTTCAGGAAGAGAAAGGGTTGGAAAAGTTTGAAAGAAGTGGAGCAAAAGTAGCTCAGGTATCAAACATCTGCTTTTGCTTTGGGAACAAGAGTATATGCTTCTTGAAAAACGTGGTCTCCTTGACAGCCTGGCTGTGTAGGGTAGGGAGTGATACACACAATGTAAGCCAGGAAAATGTTGATTAAATCATCTCTTTTGCCTGCTGGAGTCTAATAGTATCAGTCAGGGATGGACAGAAGGCATCCTTCAACATATTCTTTCATCCAACAGGAGACAGGTACATTTGCACTATGAAGACAAGTGAACTAGGGCTGTAAATTTTGTTAAAGAGCAAATAAGAAGTGGTTGGTGAAGTGAAACTTAAGAACTTAATTAACTCAAACACAAAATCGAGCAATTAGCAGGTGAATAGGTACTTTTGCACAAAGATAAGGAAAATGGGAAACAGACTAAAATTTTTAAGAAACACCTAGTGTTATGTATTTGGATTTTTTTTAATATTGGATATTTTACACTAAAATATCTAGTATTTCAGTACTGACAAGCCAATATTCTGACTCTTGCCATCTCCAGAAAAATTAAATTACTTTGAGAAATCTGCTAAAAATAAAGGTTTATTTGATGGGCTTCCTTTCAATGACTTTTAAGAGAAGCACATGAGAAAATTCAAAGCAAAAATTCCTGGGTTTGATACATATTGTAAAGTGCAGAAATTGATACTGGACAGAGCAGCAGTTCAAGATGCCACATAAAGATAAATGGCTGAGGTACTGCTGAAAAATTATTTGTCCAGATACCGCCTCCTTCTGATATAACACCATTTTAGTACCTGCATTAGTGTTACTGAAGTGCCTTTTGCATTTATCTTACCTCCATGCAGGCACAGTCTATATGTCTTTACACACATTCATCCAACAAAGAACAAGACAGTTGGCTGAATGCTACATTACATTTAGCCACCCTGACAGGACCAGGGTCAGACATTCAACATCCCAGCCCAGGGAATCTTATTATAGCAAATTTATG